GGCCTGCGCTCTGGGTCTGTTCAGGATCCGGAAGGCCCTGGGTCGTCTCACTCACTCACCAGGCCTGACCCCTGGGTCTATTCAGGATCCCGTGGCGTGGGTCCTCTCACTCATTCGCCGGGCCTGCGCTCTGGGTCTCTGCAGGATCCCATGGCCCAGTTGGCTCACTCACTTGCTGGGCCTGCACTCTGGGTCTGTTCAGGATCCGGAAGGCCCTGGGTCGTCTCACTCACTCGCGGGGCTTGCTCTCTGGGTCTGTTCAGGATCCCGCGGCCCCAGTTGTCTCACTCATTCGTCGGTCCTGAGCTCTAAAACTGGATTTTAGAAAGATGAACATGGTGGTAGTTTGGAAAGCTGACTTGGAGGAATCAGACCTTAGAGAAGCTGTTGTGTGATCCAGATGAGAGATAATTAAGCAGAAGAAGTAGAGCAACTGACAAATTATTTTGGAACTAGAATCAATTGGTATTTGATTAGATTTGAGAATTAAAAAATCTGAAGATGATTTCCACATATTTGTTTTGGGCAACTGAAACATCAATGATGCCACATATTTATACATCTTTGCACAGTAGTTGCCAGTAATACAACTCAAATTAGTTTAAACAAAAAGAATAGTGAAGAGACTTATAATTGAAAAGACACTCCGTAGACTTTAGAGCTGAAAGGAGAAATGCAAGAGAGGCTCAGTAGCACTAAGATGCTGTCTTTGCTTGCCTCTTGGCTTTTCCCACGTGTGAGCAAACATGATTGATCGCCCACAGATCCAAATGTGCAATCTCAGTCTCTGCATCAGAAATAGAGTTTCTTACACCCATAGGCCTGCTTGAGCCATAGGTTTTCCCTGGACCTGTTTTGTAGCTAAGGAAATGGGGCATTATGGTGAACAGGACAGAATCAAATACTTTGTCCCACGGCCAGAGGAAAGGAGATGGTGAGAAGGCTCTGGGTAGCTCAAGATGATACCTATCAGGGTTCACATTAGATACGGTTGATCAAGGCAGGGGTCAGGGCATTAGATGGCATTCAATCTCGATCTGATTTGGAGATGTGGAGTTCATAGCATCAAACTCTCCAGCAGATTCCAACTACCATAATATTTTATTGAAATCAACATGCTGGTGAGACGAGGCGCCTGACAGACAGCAGATGGCTCTCACACAGAAAGGCTAATCAATTCAGACAAACAACAGCCATCATAAAAGAGTGAAATGAACACAGCATGCACACACATCAGAACGACTCAGAGACAAAGGGTTTTAGCCCTAGATATGAAGGAGAAACAACATTCATACACATGTGCAATTGCACTATTAGAAAGCCTGGACATTCAGACCTTCCCAGGTGACTTACCTGTGTGGCTCACCTCCACAAATCTCTAGACCACTTGCACCCAAACTCATCAGGCTTGTCCAGACCCCCTTAGGCTTTTCTATCTCAGGACCTTTTTGTCCTTTTTTTCACTCCTTCCTTCCTTCCTCACTCTATCCCTTCTCTTTCCTCTTTCCCTCTTTCTCTTTGTCTTTTCTTCTTTCCCTCTATACTTTCTTTCTCTCCTCCTTCCTTCTTTTCCCCTGCTGGGGATGCCTTTCTACCCACCCCTTTCTGTCCACTGAAAACCGACCCTGTCTTTAAGATCTACCAAAGTTCTCCCTCTTCTCAAGAACTTGCATTGTTAATGCTTCCAACTAGATTAACCAGATTTCAGCTGTCTGTAAAACAGATGGCCTTCCTCATTCATCCCTGTAATGCCCAGGAGAACTTGGCACAGGCCTTTGAACTAAATTCTTCGTAACGTTTTACTAATCCACTTCTACAGTGGGATGGGAAGAGTAACCCTTCTTAAGAGATAATAAAAATCATGGTAAAAATCTAATGATAATGTAGTATATTGAAACACCTTTAAACATTGGTAATGCAGGATAAGAAACCCAATGGAAAGGCAGGCAAAGAAAATTAAAATAGAATTTATGGAAAGGCCAATACTTATGAAAGAGGTCAACTTCATAGTTATTTTCTAGAGATGCAAATTAAATCAGCATGATCACAAGTTTTGTTTTACAAATTGGGCAAGATTTAAAAAATGTATTTTGTAGGGTTAGTAAGATCTTGGTGAAACAGTTACTCATATGATACACTTGGGACTGTGTGAATGCTAATTCCTAAAGATGAATTTGGAAATCTTTATTAAGTTTTTAAAATGTCCATATTTAAAAAGGATTAATTCCATTCCTAAGCTTTTATCTGAAGAGCTGAACACATAGATTAGATACAAAGATATGCATCTTAGTGTGATAGTGAATGACCTGGCTGATTTTCATTTATATGGTATCTAGAAGGCAGACCCCAAAAAAGAAATGCGATTTTTATATTTCTTTCCTTCTTCAGATCAGAAAACTGTTGACAAATTGTTTGAGATCTGATGCAATATGCGAAGCCATTTTTTTTCCATTGGTATATTGTCTACTCTTCCTGGTAGGCTTTCATCCAGAATCTTTCATATTAATCTAAGCTCTTGCTATGAACACTCTTGGCTCCCATGCAATACAGTAGCTTTTATTTTTCTGTTATTCTCTCAGAACATGAAGGTCTTTGGAGTGTTATGATACACTGTACTAGAGGCTGAACAGACAAGAAGGAACATCATTTTACTACTCCTCATGTTACTTAAGTACTTTCAACCCAGTTATCCACCCACCTATCCACTTAGCAAGTCAACTAAACATCCACCCACCTATCCATCCATGTACCTATTCATGCATTCTTTTATCTATCTATCTATTATTCATTTATCCATGCATCTATTCAAACACTCTTCCATTTTTTTCCAAATATTGATTGAGCATGTGCTATGTGCTAGAAGAAGTAATGGGTTCTTTTACACAGATTATAATCATAATCTTTGTTATCAGGTTATTCACAGTTCATGGTGGACTAATAAGGAGATATTCAACTGTTTCTTCTGGAGTCAAACTCTGAAGGAAGGAGTAGGGTGAAGGAATGTCGCCCCCCTCACCAGATAGTGGATCCCAGTGGGAGAGTCTGAGTAAGGTGTTCAAAATTATAGTATTTACAAGTTAACTTGGGGGTGGAGAGAGAGAGAGAGAGAGAGAGAGAGAGAGAGAGAGAGAGAGAGAGAGAGAGAGAGAAACAAGCCTGGAGGCAGGGGCAGAGTATGAAAATCTTGTTCATGCCTAGGAGCCTGGGAGTTGGGCGTTGAAAGCCAAAGAATTATACTGAAAGATTTTTAAAAACGATCTTTTAAAGAATATAAAAATTGTAAAACAAAAGCACCCTACATTACAAACAATACAGAATTTCACTAGACAAAATGATAGGAAATCAACAATAGTTGTTATATTGCATAATGTTGTCTTCAAATTACCAGATAGAAAAATACAAAACTGATCAAAAATTATAAAAAATTGAAAAGAAGAGGAAAAAAATTAAGTGTTAACTGTTCCTTTCAACATTTAAGGGAGAAGAATTTTAAGTATTTCTGAAAAATAAAGCTGGTAACAGGAAGGTGGATGGAATAGAAGTTTTTTTTTTTTTTTTTTTTTTGGTAGGACAGTTTCAATAATTAACACACTGCATACATTCTTCTTAGTGGTTAATTGCTGTACAAGATGTGGACTTGATATCCTATTTACAAACACCATTAGAACAAATCATTCTATTCATTGACAGAATGTAACTATATATCTATCCCAACCACTTTGAATACATAGATACAAAATGGATATTCATCTGTATACCCTTTTTTTGTTAAGTTCCGTTATTTGAATATTATAGGTATGTAAACTCAGCAAAATATTCTAAAAGAGTCCAGTAGCCCATAATAGTATTGGGTCTTCTGCTTAACTGGCAATGTCAGAAATTGTTGACCTGAGTCCCCCACAGCTCAACAGCATGGCTTTATTTCTTATATTTCATTTTTATACTTTCCTTCTAGATGGTTAAGACCAAGGTAAAGCAGGACCTATGCAACAAGACTTGTAGCTTTTGGGTCTGAGAAGGTCAGTGAAATCCCCTCAGGATTATCCTGAGATCCTGTACCTCAGATTGTAGAACCTTTGTCAGTGTCAGCCATGTGGATGAGTCACGACCATTGCTTGGCCAATGTGCTCTCTGTGAAAACCTGAGAGAATGTTTTCTCTCCATGTGACTCTCCTTAGGCACACTCTGCATCATCGATCACTTTCCTCTTTGGTCCCATAATCTCCTTGATCAGAAAATTTGAGACACTACCGAGTTACATGACATAACAGTACAAGTTCTCATATGTCCTGAGTCTTAATTGACCTTAGAAGGCTAGGGCCAAAATGTTGGCTTTCCTTGCAGCCTTCCTTTTTCTCTGATTTTGGATCTTCAAACTGAAGTTGTTAATCATCCAGAAGACAAGCTTGTTGTTATTATCGAACAACTTAGGCTGTTAAGCTTAACCTCACTATCTGTCTGCATATCAAACATCTTAGGCATAATATGGAACAAGTATTTTTCATCAAATATTGATATGTTGAACTTTAAGTCCCTACAGAATATGACAAAAACATTTAAAAATTAGAATATATTTTTAAAATAGGCATAAAGAATTATATACTTCTCATGTTTGCACATAAGTCCAAAAATCTCATCATATACAACCTTGAAGAAGAACAGTTCCACAATTGTAATAGAAGTTTGAAGCTAGTCAGGACATGACTATTATAATCCAGGTGAGGAATTTTAATTTTTCAGACTGACAGCTGGAAGAATGGAAGAAGAGGATAGGAAATAGAGTTAAGAGATGTTGTCAAGGCCATGTTGACAAGACCCTGTGCCTGGTTAAGGGCGTATTGTTGGGATATGGGGCAAGGAGCATTATCAAAAACTCCAAGGTTCCTGGTGTGAGTTTACTGGTATAGATTTAGATGTTGTGAGCAGAAGTGGAAAACCAGGCCACATTTCCTAGGAAACCCACTCAGCATCCAGGCCTTCTTTTTCTTTGCTCTTCTGGCCTATCTTTTGGAGTTCTTTGGAAGTGGCTGCTGCATGTGGCCCAGATATACCCTGTGGCCAAGATCCTTAGTTGGCACAACTTCCTGGACAACAAATGTCTTTCCTGACAGCAAGTTCCTCAGCTTGCACTCAGGGATGGGCAACTGGGGACACTTCTTCTTGATCATAAGATTTCTGAATGGTATTTATACAACACCATTTTGTTAAAGGATGATCTGTTTTGTGTTTTACTATGCAGAAAACGATCTCAAGTTCTGATTACATTTTTACTCTACTTTTTAGGCCCAGCTAAATGATACTTGTCATATTTAGGCCTACTCAAGTCTCCATCCAACCACTCCAGGCTCCCATGGTTTAGACCTCTAGTATACTTCATATAAGTCAAATTATCAGTATTTGTCCAGGCATCTACTTCTTTGGGTAAGCCTAGAACTCTTTGCTGGGTGAGCCTCATATATTACCTTTCCCCTATAGCATTGCCTGTCTCATTTCCATCTTTGCTTTTCTTCATTCCCAGCATTTTGAACAGTACTCAACTTTGGGGCTTGTAACTCATTTTGTGGGATAACATTGTTGTTTATTTCTTAAATACAAATGGATGCTATCATTGTTGGGTGTCCAACACAGAAAGATCCCCCAGATTTTAAAAGCTTGTAGCTCTGGCCTGAAGCTCTTAAAGCGTTCCTCATTTGTTCAGATGGGTCTAACTGCCCCAGGGAAGGCATTTTGGCCTGGAAATGTGATGCTTTGAAGACTACATAAGAAACAAAGCCTCCTGCTTTCCGCTTGGGAATGAGACTTGTGCCTTTAAGACCTGTCTTGGGAAATCAGCCTGAGCAACATAATTGCGATGAAATTATCCCATATCACACCCACACATTCATTATGAGATTCCTTATTGACACCTTGACAATTTGTTTCAGAAGACATTATTGCATATTCCTCCCTCTGGAATAGATACAGATGCATATAGACATACGAGCCCACACATAATGTATATGCATATCAGTGTGTTTTTATTATATAATTATACGAGGCTATCAATCAGTTTTCATTTGGAACTCTTTGCATTTATAGTTCAGGAAGTTATTTAAAATCAAGGGGTGGAGAAGGGAGCCTCCTAGAAGAACTAAGGAGGAAGCATCGGCTGGCAAAGGCAGTGTGCAAGGCTTTGCTATCTGAGAACTGCATTTTCTTTCCCTCCGTACATGGTTCTTTCTTTTGCACTGTGAGCCTCTCTGCTAGTGGAGATTCAGTCCTGGGAAGCAGTCACAGGAAGAGGTTACCAGAGAACAGCTTCAAGGGGGATCTCTTTAAGGTCATAAGTTGCCATCTTTAGTCTCTGAAACCCTTCTACAGGGTCTGTGTTATGGCCATGCTGATCTGCATAGAATAAAAATTTGCTACCAGCCAGACTTAAATACTACTCTAAATCCAGGAAAATCAAACATTGGACATTAGAGAAAGATTTCCCACCCTTTAAAGTTACGACACATATGAAAACAAAAATATTTGTACTGTGTACTGTAGCACAACACAGGGGACTTGGACTACCCATTGTAGGTGGGTAGAAAACCATCCCATTTTTATTTATATAAAATACAAAATGAAAACTAAAATGCTGCATATTAGGGGAAACATCCCTTCCCTAGTTTTAATGAGAAATTTTGAACTTGCTTCCTTTCTCATTAGTTTCAAATCAAGTCTGTACACACAGCACCTGATCAATACTTTTAAAAATGATGTTGCCTACAAATTCTTGGTAGTCACCCTTGATAAGAGACTTTACATAAGTGAGTGACAAACATTTAAATCCATTTTTATAACCACTAAGGATTCATAGCAATTGAAATTATATTTAAAGGACTTAACAGCTCTTCCTTTACTTTTGCTGACAAGTGTAGTGTCAAAGCGTTTGTGACAATGTACATGGATCTCCAGTCTTACTGAACTTACATCAAGGACTCCAGAGTGGATGACATTGTAATTTGTGAGCTTTGGTGTTTTCTGGAACATTTGCTGTGCAGTTGACTTGAATGACACTTGGAGGGTGCAATGATCCAGACAGATGGGAGCACATAGCATAAGAAGCCCTCCAAGGACATCGTCACTGGGCCACCATCAAGCCTCACTGTGCCTCTCTGTATTTTCCACTTGTGACTGCTAACACTGGGCTGCAGTGGTGGTGCTCCATGGTACATAAGCTTCTTCATTGTTCCTGTCTCTATGATGGTGACAGTGACCAGTCAGGCTTACAGCTAGCTGGGGATAAGGTGACTGCTGGTAAAGTAGCTCCTTGTTCATTCTCACTGTGGCTCTGCAGAGCCACCGGGGTCAGGTACCCCTTTCCATGCTCACCTTTGTTGGGATGATAGCAAATACCATCAACCCCCACCCCCCCCTTGGGTGGCCTTTTGAGAAGCCATGAATAAGGTGGTATGTGACCATAGGAGACCATCTCTAGGTACTTTGCCTGCTCCAGGATCTGCTCCAGTATCCTAAAGCTGAGGAGGCCAGATCCCGCATAATTGTAATTTATTCATCACACACTGATTGGCAAGCAAAAGACAAACACATTTTTCTTCCTCTCTACACTTCATTTCCTTATCAACCATTTCAGTGGTTGCTTCCACATGAGAACTATATTCATGAAACAAAATCAGACGTAGTTGACTATAATGAGGCAAACAAAGAAGTAATTTAGATGGCAAGTGCTTTAGGCCCTTGTCTGGCAGATGCTAAGCTGGGAGTAGTCTGTGTTGAGTTGTATTAAACTAGGGAAAGTTTCTTAGGACCCTTCCCTAAGAGCAAAAGTAAAAGAGGGTGGTGCTCAGGGGTAGTGGAAAGCAGGTGGCTTCAGAACAGCAAGAAACAGACCCTGGAAATCACAGAAAGAGAGGATGGGGAGGTGAAGTTGGAAGAGAGTTGCCCATCATCATAGCTTAGGTTTGATGACACTTTAACTAGATTCCAGGTAGCGCAATACGTATTTCGTAACATAGTCCTCACAACACCCAACAAGTGGAATATTACATTCTCACTGGATAGCTGTGAATAATGAGGTTCAATAGTATAATTTAAAGATTTAAAAACAATCTTTTCACATGGAGAGAAAACATTCTCTCAGGCTTTCACAGAGAGCACATTGGCCAAGCAATGGCTGTGACTCATCCATATGGCTGACACTGACAAATGTTCTACAGTCTGAGGTAAAGGATCTCAGGATAAATCCTGAGGGGATTTCACTGACCTTCTCAGACCCAAAAGCCACAACTCTTGTTGACTAGGTCCTGCTTTACCTTGATCTTAACCATCCAGCAGAAAAGTATAAAAGCGAAATATAAGAGGTAAAGCCATGCTGTTATGTTGAGCTGTAGGGGACTCAGGTCAACAATTTCTGACATTGCCAGTGAAGCGGAAGACCCAATACTATTATGGGCTACTGGACTCTTTTAGGATATTTTGCTGAGTTTGCACACCTATAATACTCAAATAACGGAACTTAACAAAAAAAGGGTATACAGATGAATGTCCATTTTGTATCTGTGTATTCAAAGTGATTAGGATAAATATATAGTTACATTCTCTTAATGAATAGAGTGATTGGTTCTAATGGTGTTTGTAAATAGGATCTCAAGTCCACATCTTGTACAGCAATTAACCACTAGGAAGAATGTATACAATGTGTTAATTATTGAAACTGTCCAACCAATTTGATTTGAAGCTGTCTCATTGCTATTTGTTTCTCAATAAAATTATGGAAAAAAGAAAATGATCTGAAAAAGAAATAAAAGTGTATGTATGAATATACCAAAAAATCTTTTATTTATTTATTTATTTATTTATTTATTTGGTATATAGTTTTGCTACGCAGTTCAGACTCATAGTGATTCTCCTGTCTCAGTCTTCCCTAGAGCTGGGAATACAGGTGTGCCCCACCATGCCCAATTTCAGTGGCTTGCACATCTTGCCCAGGGTTCCTGGGCTGGCATAGCATGGGATACCAGGGATTGAAGCTGGGTCCTTGTGCTTGTCAGGCAAGCACTTAGACCACTGAGCTACCTACCCAGCCCTCAGAGGCGTGTAATTTAAATTGCCCAAGGCCACAGGGATGTTAAATAGAAAAACCTGGACTCCAGACTATGGGCAAAGACCCCGCAGGAGAACGTAAAGCAGCTCCTGCAGTCCCACATGCTTGTTCTATGGATCCCTTATTGTACTCTGGATGCCACATTCTTCATGGGTATTTAAAAGGAAGAGATGGACTTGCCTTTTCATGCTTTAAAACTCTTTAGAGACTTGGGACCTAAAGGGACCTCGAGAAGGAGTCACAGTGACTAGAACCTGCTAACTCTTCCCTTACAAGGCCTTTCTCTAGCTTTTATTTTCTAGTCCCTCTGTCACCACCATCATGTGGACAAAGCTTAAACTTGAGTGAACATTCAATGTCATTGTACACCAACTCCAGACTGAAGCTTAGAGCCTGAAGCCCGGCACAGTGGGTGCTTAGCTGATATTTGTTCAGTGCTTGAAATGAATGGGTAGGTGGATGAGGCCTTGGTCTCTTTTTCCTTCACCCCTTTGCCCAGGCCTGTGTTTTCACCAACAACTCTTAAACACTGTGAGCCTCACATCCCCAGGCATTTGCTCAACTGTTTTCCATCATCTGTCCTCCTTGTTGGAGATTAGCTGATTGGAGAATCCACCCGGAGCCCTGCTCTGTCTAGTCCTAACTGACTGATGTGGCTCACAGAGAACTGCCTGCTTTGAGTCCGTACTTATTTGTGCAGCAGTTTATGGACTATGTGTGTTTTTGTCCTGGCTGGGGAATGAGCACCCCAGTCCACCTCATGTCTCTAGAAGAGACTTCTGTTATTCATTCTTGAACAATAGCTTTTACATAGTGGGTGCTCAAGTTGTATTAGGGGAACGACCAATAGGGAGTTTGGTACACACAGGAAAACTGATTCTTCATGACACTGACACATTCCACCAAAAATGATATTCAGTGCCAACTTTCCGTGCAGCCTTCTGGGAATACCACCTACTACTGGGAATAGGAACACTTGAATTACGACAAAATGCACTCATGTTCCTCATCACCACTGAATTGTTGAGTAGTCAAACAAATGCTCAATTACATACAGTATTATAGGTTCACTATCATAAAAAAG